AATAATCAAGATCTTGCTTTAGTTATAGAGTTTCGTGATCAATTATCAATGTTCTAGAGTTTCTTTGATATGTAGCAAACAGACACTTATTTTAGAAATAATTGCTCACCTCAAAATCTGGGTAACCAGTAATACTTTTCAAAATTCCATCAGGGGAAATATAGATCTAGGGTTCATCTATTCCAATATCTCTTTTTGGTATATTTTTATACCATTCATCTAAGTCAAATACTTAAGTTGTGGATGAATCAAAGCTATTATAGTCGCATTTAAAAAGCATGCAACTTTTTTCATTATTTTTCTGATCTCCGTAACGGTCTTTTTCTTATTGTGAGAATATAATATAATTTAATGGCCCAAAAAATATATTCTTGAACATAAATGGAAATTTCTATGATATGATCTTTACAACTGGTTCCTTGTCATCAAAGAAGTCATCAATCTTTTAAATGCAGATTACTAGATCGTTGGTTTCACTCTTATTCTTTTTAACGCTGTAAAGTAAATATTCTCTGCAGGGAGAGATCTGAAATTTGTTATAACTTCTAGTCTGATTTTATGAGGTGAGATCATGATTTTCTCTGTCAAGGATTTTCAATTTAATTTCCTCGTATGTCTTGGCGTCTCTCAGTTAGGCAAAGTCAGCATTATCATTATTCGCTCTACCGTTGATAAAAATTTAGGTTTAGTTCTTTACTAGCTAAAAGTCTCCAGCTTATAAATATTTGGTGTAGCTTGATAATAGCTCACCATCTTCAATTATGTTGATATCTGCCAGATTCACATAGTTTTTATAAAGGGTTTTGTTATAATTAACTTTGTCATCTGAGTTCTATTGTTTTAGTTCTTGCAGTAGAGAGGTCTATTTAGGTTCTAGCAGTCTTTCTGCTTAAGGTTTTAATTACTCTTTTTCTAACATATAAAGATATTTTATTATAAAACTTATCTCGAGAATATATATCCTTTAGCTTCAATGTAGCAAGTAAGCTTAATATTTATTGAATAATTATTCACTTTTTTAAACCGATTATTAAGAGTAATGGGGTTTTGGGGTTTTGGGGAGATCGGAAGAGCGT